ATAATCATTATTCGGATAATAATTTGTTAGAAGCATCCAACATAAGGGGAGAATAAAAGACTAGATGATCTTTAACAATATTAAAAGCCTCAATACTGTTCAAATCTATACTTATATGTTAAAATGGAATGTGCCAAGCTGGCACTTTCCTGCTTTTTAGTTTATTCTCAAAGGCAATTATCTTTTTTCTGGTCTTTCTCTCTCTCTCTTTCTTCTTTTCCATTAACTCTTTTAACAATCTCTCCTCATTAATTATGTCATTAACTCTCATTCAATAACTCATTCCACTAATTCTCTCATCTCCATTACCCCATTACATTATATAAAATTCATTAATATATATATATATATATATATATATTAGATATACTTGCATTAAATTGTAATTAATAGTAAATATTGTTATATTGATGTTGATATATTCAATGATATATTATTGTGTTAAATAATCTACTTCCATTTAAAGTTAACCATAACAAAAATAATTTAGTAAGTTACTTAAATAAAATAAAAATAATTATTAATTATTGCTATTGATGAAAAATTTTTCATTAATATAATAAAACAAAGTTAATTAATAAAAGGAATAAGATAAATTATAAAGTAATATCGTTTTAAAATTAATATAAAACTATAACAAAATTATCTAACAAATATTAGTTTTATAATTAAATTTTACTAATTTAAAACCAACTTAAGCTCCACTAAAAAATAAAAATTTATATAGTTAATTAAATTTCATAGGGAATTTAAATTTAATAAAAACTTTTGATACTTAATTAAATTTGATTTTTACTAATTTCAAAAAATAATAAAAATATTAATTTTAAATCTAGTTTAATTATTTTAAAATCAATTCAATTATGCAAATACCTCCTTGGGTTTTCTATTAAAACTCCCTGATGTTTTGACCTTAACAAGAACCTCCTCTACTGTTTTGAAAAAAATGTGGAAATACCATCTTTTCATAAGCATTCCAAATAAAAAATGTTGATGCAATGTATTAGTTTTACTTCACTTCACCCTTTTACCTTACTTTGTCTAATAAGTGTAAGGAGAATTATTCTTTCAAAGTTGTTTGACAAAATAAATTAGTGGAGGGTAAAGCCGAAACCTTAAATTGTGTATAATAAATCGATAGTCCATTAACAATGATAAGGGTATTTTGGTAAATTCAATGCCTTTGTTACTGAAAAGTAAGGGAAATGAGGTATTTGCACTTTTTTCTCAAAACTATAGGGGATACCTTTGTTAGGGTCAAAATACAAAGGTGGTTTATACAATTGTTATAAGAGGGTATTTTTTATAAATTTATCTAAAAATAATAATAAACCAATAAAAATTAATAAAAATACTTTTCAAAAGAATTAATAAAAATTAGCATTAAGATACAAAAATAATACAAATTTACCTAGAAAATAAAAAATTAGCCACTCTCACTAAAACACAACTTAAATTATAATTAGATAAATTAGACATAACCCAAAAAATAATAATTGAATTAAATTGGAATGAARCATATGCATCGCACGGGTCCTGACTGGTTATATCGGTATTTAACTTAATATTCAGAATATTAGAATCATTCCATAAGTAAAGAACCATATAATTGGTGATACAAAAAGAGAGTCAGGAGACAGAATGATTAGAGAAATCTGATTAACTTCTGTCCTCACCTTTTTGTTTTTATACTTGTCAGAAAAAAGAATTTATTTTTTGCTACTCTTGAATTCGAGCACTACCTTCCAAGTTTCAAGCATCTAAAATTTTATTAATTCAACCATTTTTATTTTTCTCCAAAATGCCGTTAATAATTTTAAAATTATTTGTAAGTTATATGCCAATAAATAACAATTGACAGTATGATCCATGGGGACATTAGTGGGGGGAATGACTGTCAGAGATTTTCTAAATTCAGATACACTTCGAATTTGAACTTACACAACTCTTTCATGAAGCTGATACAGAGCAAATAAAACAAATTCCATTAACTAAGCAGTCACAACTCTTAGCAATAGCATGCAGCCATGCACCAAAGAATCGCATAAACAAGGCCCCGTTTGGCACATTTTTCTCTATGGGCTATCGGCTGTTTAAAAGAGTTGCATAAATAAGGTCCCGTTTGGCACATCTTTCTGCCTGGGTTATCAGTTGTTTAAAAGCCTAGCAGCSTGTGTTTTCATATTTTCCCATTTGATTAGAAAAAGATCTAACCATAAAAAAATGTCGTCCTGAAAAGATGTGTAAAGTCCTTTTAAGGTTATTTTCGAGAAATTCCAAATGGTTGACTTTTTTCATTGTATCTTCACATAGAAAGATGCATCTTAACCAAATTATTTTCAGGCTGCTAAGATTAGAGGTGGCAATTAGACGGGTTGGGTTGGGTTCGGTTTAGATTGAGTTTCAACCCAACTCATCTAACCCGCCAACCCATTAATGACCTAATTAGATATAATTAAATGAATTGGATTCAACCCAAACCCACCTGAACCCAATCCAACCCACCTGGACCCAAGCTTTTTTCCACTAGGATGTCCAAGAGCGTTTTAACCACAACCAGTCTCCCTCAACTGAAAAGGTGAAGAGAAATTTGAACCGTGAATGGGAGAAATTGGGACCCTCCTGGCTTAGAAGGGTTTGCTATTCCTTTCGAAGTGAATAGCCATCCAAGCTCATTCAGGAAGGGAAGAACATCCTCCCTGGACTGTGGCCGCCCTAAATCCTGAAACTTATCTTCTGTAACGATGCAAGCTGTTCTAGAAACTTGATCAAACTCTGACTCAGCCCCTCAAAACTGAGGACCACATGCTTGCATCTGCCTCAAATAGCATGCAGTTGATTAGATTCATTGCCTCTACAAGAAAACCAGCACACAGATCAGTCATGCATGAGTAGTGTTCAATCTCTGGCTCAATATGATAATCTTCTTTCATTGTATAAAACCATCTCTCTCCCCACTGACTATTCCACAATGGTTGCTGGCAGACAATACACCTGTAAAGGTGACATTGTTTGGATCAACACCCACATCATCTCATCAAACAACTTCAATGCTCCAAGTCCATAACCATTTGTAGCATAACCAACCAAAATTGAGTTCCATGGGACTTCATCAGATTTCACCATCTGATCAAACAATTCCCGTCCATCTTTAATGTTACCACACTATGGCTGTCAAGGATCAAGCATGTATTAAACATGTTTAGAGAGGCTATTATTTTCTAAGAAAACAGCTCCTTTTCTTCATTTTATAGAAGAGTTTAAGATTAGAATAAACCTGATATTGCACAAAAATTCCCACAGAAAGAAAGAAAAGAAAAATAAAAAATAGATGTAAGCAATGGCTGATCACATGGTGTGGGGTTCTCAACTGCATGAAAACAAATCAGCAATATATTCTTTTGTTGTTAACATGGAAAGTTTTATAGTGGATGGATCTTGGGATCTGACTGGTTGGATCCCTCAGCCCACTCCTGCAAATCTAATGAATACTTCAATCTCAGATTTTATAGTGGATGGATCTTGGGATCAAATAGCCCTCCAATCTCATTTTAGTAGGGAGACCCTTGGGGGATTTGGACTGCTCATTCATCTAGAAAATTCTCTACCAAACAGGCTTATGTGTAGGATTAGCAAAATCAGTTATCCTCAATCTCTTCCATCCAGAAGAAATGTTTTAAGTTTATTTGGAAGCTTCCCATTCCCCCTCGTTTCCAAGGGGTGCCCTTTTGAATTAGCCTGCATTTTTCAGTTGATCACCCGAAAAAGGAAAGCAAATGAACTAGTTATATGTTACAATGAACCAATGGTTAAAAGTGATGGCACCTAAAGCAATGGATTAGATGCTGACTACAGGCCAAGCAGCTTGGAATTTTTCTGCTACCCGGCTACCCCCACTGCAGAGGGAAAGAAGAAGGCAGAAACCAAAAAGAAGGCTTCCACTGCCTGGAAAACTCTCAATCAGTGGAAGTTCCTCACTAGATGTAGATGGAAGTAAACCCTGCTTCTCAACCCACTGGCGAGCAGACAAGGTTAAAGATACAGAGAGAGAGTTTGAGTACCTAAGATGGAAGCCTAAATCGCCGTATACTTGTATTGATCGAGTGGTCTCTGCTAAAACCTAGAGTTCCCTCTTCGTTCTCATTCATCTCCAGTCTCCACTTCTCTGCATGTTGTCTCTGAGACTGACTCTATGCTCCTTAATGGGTTTGATGGTTAACCATCACCCAACCCGCCCAATCCATTAAAGCCCATCCTTATTGGGTTAACCGACCCACAACGATCCGGAAATTAATAAATGGGTTCAACCCATTAATAATTGGGTGGGTTGGGCGGATTCAGCGGGCTGGGTAAAAAATTGCTGCTCCTAATTAACATCTCAATGCAAAAATTCACCCAAATCAATTCTCAATGTTTGTTTGACATGAACAAACATGGTACTGGTACAGTAGGCAGCGCGTGGCAGAAAATAAAAAAATAGGACGAAGAAAAAATGGACCGTAGCAACGTTTATGTGTAGTAATCGACATGTAGCCTACATAGTGTACAAGTTCTGGAGTAGTTTTGCCACCTGGAAATAGAGAGCTGATGTAGACATGGACACAGGGTCTTGACAAATCGGGAGGGTCATTGTTAAACTTTGATATTTCAGGGTAACGAGTAATAACCGGGCTTACATTGAACTCAGAGAAATCAATATCATCCATTATGGCATTGTGTACTGTTTTGTCTGGAAAACGAATCAATAATACTAACCCCAATTGCTTTGTGAAGATGTCCTGAAGCCCCAGTGGTTTGTCAAGTAATAGAGGGTGCTTATATACTTTTGTACTACATCTACATGATGATGAGAAATCATCCATATATTGTGGCCTACATCTACGTGCAAATGATATAATTTCTTTTTTTCATGGGGCCACCACACCCACACACCGGGGTGTCCGCAACTAGCCAGAGACCTGCCTCTATCAGTTGGTATCTACGGGAAAATGATTTAAGGATAATATGCGAATGGTAGGAGGCTAAACATAATATGCACTAATTTCATTTTACATGTATCCTCTGTTTGCTTTAATAACAAAGATAGAAGAAAAATAAAAAATGTCAAGCCCATAGAGCAAGCACGGACATGGTAGTAGACCCAAGCACTAGGGCGATGTAACAAACCTTCTTCAACCAGGGTTTAGAACCCATCATCTTGTTGTGGAAGAAATCAACGGCTATGAGATCCACAAGTCCCATGTATATCAAAACACCTGAAGACAGAGAACCCAGGAGCCCTTCCAGTATTAAGGCTTTAGGGCTGCTATCATCGTAACCAGTCATGTAGAATATCATCAGCCCCAAAACTATTCCCATTGGAGTTGTCACTGAAAACATGAAGCTCATGTAAGCGGTCGTTCCCATGCTGAAGCCCGCCTGTCCATCATCATCAAAAACAATTAATTCATCACACAAAATCATTGTTTCAGTTACATTCCCCATTTTTGAATATCATGATTCATTCTACCAATTTTCAACATGCTAGACTTGTAGACACAGTGCAACCATGGGGAGAGTTAAAAATAAAACGTGTAATGCACTTCATGCTATCCATTAAGTATGCACATCCAATCAAATGAGTAGTACAAGTATACATAGCACCCAAGTTGCTCATTAAAGCACACCAAAAGGTTAATACTACAAATTAAAACCAAGTTTTGCCGTTGCCTGATATGGAACTAGAGGGGGAACAAAAGCATATCGATCATCCATCCATTAAAAGAAGTTCTTTTATTTTTTCATATGGGATTTTCACCCAGGTCTGCYGGCACCGATCCTATCATCTGGCTGTGGTAGTACCTAGGTTCTTTAAATATATAGCAAGACGAATAGGTCAGATGTGGTTCTTTTCTATTTGACATATATGCTTGGCTAATAAACAATTGTCTTTACAAGTCAGTATATTTACTTAGAGGAGAGACTTTGCATATGAAATGAAGAAAAGAACTAGAGATGATTATTTAAACAAAACTAATGGGATTAGATGAATTTTAAGAGATGTCCATGGAATAGGTACAGTAAAGTTTCAGGAAATAATTATAAGTACCCATGAAAAGAGGTTAAGAAATCCATTTATCAAAAAAGAAAAGGTTAAGAAATCTATTTAAGTTCAGATACCAAGACAGGTTTTCTCATCCTGAGGCCAAAACCACTGTCAAATGAAGCTTTTGCTATGGGGCTAACCAGGTTATGCTCATATTGCTATTGCTTTTGCTACATAAAGAAAACAGGTCCTATAAACTGTCAATTGGTGACTGCTGCAGCCATGCAGCATCAATATGCCCATAACAGCAGCCCATCCTGGCATGTTGGACGCCATCATAGCTAGCTATTCTACAAACCAGTGTTTTTCAATAATTTTTAACAGTTCAACTTTCGAACCAATTAATTAGCCAACTTTCTAATACCGAAGGTATGATTAAGAGAAAGAAAAGAAGCAATATGCTTTTTAAAAATAAACATTCTTCTGAAGGGTGAAAATCATCTCATAGAAAATAATTTTTAAGAAAGAAAAGAGTGTCTTATAATTAATGCTTCTCTATTTACAGTAGATACTTCAATAAGTAACATGATCTTGCTGGATAGATATTCTAATATTTACAGATAAGATAATTTCAAGTTATTGCCATATCTATGTATTTTAGAAAAAACTTCATTAACAAAAAAAGGGATGACCACTGGCATTATGCAAACTTATATGCCAATTTAAAATACAATTTATCCAAGTGGACTATATATTAAGGGAAAAATACTAATCCAGCCTACAGGTGCATTCCATGTTGGCTTCTCATAGTACAGGGGACACCTTGCCACCTAGTTGCTTAGCATCACATAGACAATGAGTTTCTTTTAAACAAAAACCATGAATTCTAGGGTAACTCCCTATGTTCAATGGCAACCAGCAATCATCTTTCACTGGTAATTATCAATAAACTACATTACTAGTTTGAAGACTTCAAGGATTCAAGAGAGCATACACTGACATGTGTCTAATTATCAATATACTACATTCCCTACGTTCAATGGCGGCCAGCAATTTCCTCTATGTGGCTTTCATGGCAAACCACTGATGGCTTTGTAAACTAATGAAGCTTGACTTGATGGGCTTACAATTTTGGTCTTCAATAATTCCTCAAGTGAGGAAATTGTACCTTGTTCTGATTTACATTTGACACTTTGGACTGTAGTTAACATTTCTCACAATGCATTGAGGTTTTAGAACATCCTTCATTTTTTTCAATCTTACTTCAGTATCATATTTATCTAGTAATGATAGTATTGGTTAAAAAAGAAAAAAAAAACATTTACAGTTGTTTGACCTCTTATTTCTACCATTTCATCTTTACCTATGGTAAAAACTTAATTGGCATCTGAGTGATAAGAAAAGGGTTTTAGGTTGCATTTAGATCAGCAAAGAATTGGAATTATCAGAACTGTCATTTGGGTACTTTTAAAATAGTGAAGCAGAATTCAGAAAATCGAGTTCAGCCTTCAAATTTGATATCTTAGCGGAATGAGAGATGGCTAAGGAGGGGAGGCGGTCATCTTAATTCTGCAGAACAGAGACAGGAATGAAATCCAGTTCCAAATGCACTCTCCTGATCAAAATAGAGATGGAGAATCAAGAAAATATTCAATATTTGTTGGTATATTTTTCCCCACTCAATCTCGCTGTACCAAGTGGACAGAGATGACTTCTGTCCTTACAAACAGTCAAATTCTTGTTTGGCTAACATGTGTTGCCAAAATCACAGCTTGTACTTACCAAAACAATTAAACCAAGAGAGAGATCTTGGTACGTCAAAAAGACCTTGTTCCTTCCTCTTCTCCTCCCATCCCGACATTTTCTCTTCTCCAGACATCTATGTTATCATTAAGACATTAACACCCCCCCCCCCTCTTCTCTTTCTCTCTTGTTTGGGTGTATGAGTGTGTGTTACAATCAAAATAATAATACATCGTCATTCTTTAAACTGTTCTACCAAAAGATAATAAACTGTATGTCTGTAATAGAAAAGTAGAAAATACATCCATAACACATCTACAGGATAGGTTACTGTTTGAATGGGCTACATGTCTACATACCCAATCCACAGGAGCTTTATATCCACCATTTTAAGATGCTTTTCCCAATATTGTGATTCTTTTTTTTATCAATTTCCCAATATTATGATTCAGAATTTAATTTAATGATACCAAATAATGATTTATTCTAGCATATGGCAAGAAGGTTATTTGTATGTTATTTTAAGAGCAACATCTGATGACTGTTAATCCTTAGCACTAAGCATAGAAGTTTCTAACTCAACCCCGTATTCGGTGGAAAGCTTTGTGTTGAGAGCAGAGGCTAAATAATTCTCAGATCACTCATATTTTACTTTATAAGTCTTGGATGCTTGCCAGTCGCCACATTTTTTTTTTTTTTTACTAATTACTAATACTACTGTTGTCTCAGTAATGAACTAAGCCGCAGCCGGCTTAGGGTCAGACCAGGACGCGTCTCCAAAGTAGAAAGTCATGATATGTGGCCCACGAAAATTGAGTGGACGAGGACCTGAACCAGTCTATAGTGTACCGCGGACTTTATGATTAACGGATTAACGATGATTCCGATGGAAGAATCAGCGGCTACAATGCTCCATCAGGATCAAGCCATCTAATTTTATTTGCTGATTCTAATTTTATTTATGACGATAGAAAGATTGTGGGCAATGGGTTCCTTTGCCTAACCTGTGCAATGCAGCCTCCAAGGCCCATCCCTTCGAAGATCTGGTGGAACGCCAAAGCAAGAACAAGAGGTCTAATGGTGCACTGGTTCTGAGACATCCCCAACGTCACTCCTATGATCACCGAGTGAAATACGATCCCAATTTCCAAAACCTGGGACACCAATCTCTGCTTTATCTTCGCCAATTCATCGGCGTGTTGGTCATGGCAACTCACCGGCATCGCTCCCATCTCTATTCCGCTATCCACCGATTTCTTCCCCACAGAAGAAGCCGTTACCGCTGGAGACTCTTCTTGGGTGCCAATAGGCGTGTAGTGGCTCGGCTTGTTATCGACGTGGGCACTGGCTGTCACGTCCACCAACAGAGCAAGTAAAGCCCCAATCAAGGTGACTAAGCCGGAGAAAGGGAAGTCCTTCCATGGGTGATGGCTGGCGACCTGGCAATCGGAGAGGGCATCAAACGCATCAGGGAGGACGTGGACCAGAGATGTGGAGAGGATTACCCCGGCAGCGAAGCATTTGATAACCAGGAGAATCTTCTCGTACGCGGGTTTCCCGTGAAATTGGCGAGCAAGAATCACCGGCAAAGATATACCTAAGACACTGGTGAGGAAGATCACGACGATGGATATGAGCTTGAGGGTCGTCGCCGCTCGACTATCTCGGCACAAGAGCTCACGGGCAGTGTCGCTCTCGCACCGAGCCATCGATTGATGCGGAGATTAGGAGGGAGGGTAGAGAACACAGACAAAGAGAGAAGAGAGGGAGGGAGAGAGAAAATAAGGAGAAGCGCGTAGGGAAGTGTTATATCTCCTCCCCCGTCCTTTGTGTGGACTTTTTGTTGAGCTCCTTGTGGACTGCTCATAACTATTTCTATTTGTTCAGTCTCTTAAATGCGTGAATGGCTGATGAGTGATGAATCAGAAATTCAGAAACCTACTCGCGACTACTCGCGAGTAGTAGTAAAGATCTACTCGACTCTCTCTTCTGTATAAATTTACACGTGTTGTTATTCGAGCGTTCGTGTAAATCAGCCCCCACCAGACTGCGCCCCACAACGTCTGCACATCCCCGCCGTCTATTGGGAGATGATGATATCATTATTTTTTATACATATTTTCAATACACGGCGGTGATGCACTGTGGGAAGTTGTGGACGCAGTTTTGTGGGGCTGATTTGATGTCAAATTGAGAAACTCACATCATATTCTCGTAAGGCTAAGGAGATTGGAGAATCATGTATGTGACGCGAAACGCTTTTACACGTGTAAATGTGAAGGATATAATCGTCTTTCCAAACGAGGGTGTTTTTGTAAAGACGAATGATTTCGTCTAGGTTTTAACCTCTCATCGCGAGAGTAGTTTTCTTATTAAAAATTTAGGTTAATCGGATAATTAAAGCCTTAAAGGACGAGATGGTGAGCGACAGAAACAGCCACCAGTGAGCACGGAGCAGTGGACAGACGTGGATGAATTTGAAATTTGGGTAGGGGCCCCACAAATTGCAGCTTTGACACGGCCAACATCGTCCGTTTCCATTCAGCATCGAGATTGGTGTGACTAGTCTTGTTTTCCACTTTCCACCCTCTTTCTCTTTCTCCTTCATCTTTTCTTTATTTATTGACTATTGATTAATTTTAAAATTTAATTATGATAAATAAATAAATGTACATTTAATGAGTAGTATGGTTTTTAAAATTGAATGGGACAATGAATCGGTTCGATTCCCAGTTAGAATGGTCAAATCATTCAAACCGAATGAATGGCCTGTTCTGACAAAAAAATGACTAAACTATTGAATGATTCAAACGGTTCAACTGTAAGAATGAGTGATTTATTGACTAAATCAATGACTTTTGGTGAAATAACCATTTTGGAGTAAAACGAAATTGATCACTCCTCAATTTTTTCAATCCAACCGTCCGATACGATCCAATGTTAAAAACCATGATGAATAATAACAGACGAATGTCCATGTTTTAGTCGGATAGGGACTTTGCGGGATTATAAAGATGAGGGTGTTCACCAAGATTCTCAAAAGACTCTGCCCTCCTGACAGAGATAAGTCTCCTTCTCTATGTGTCGGACTTCGCTTCCTTGCGAGGTCTTCGATGGGGCGGCTACATGTGTATTAACGTGGTCTACGGTGTAAATCGGGCCGTGTCGCTCGTGGCTCGGTACGACAGTTCGTGGGCCGTGTCAGYCCCGTCATGATCATGCAGGCTGTGTTGGGCCTGGGGTTTTAGGTCTATGGGCCAGTACGGCTCAGCCCACAACCCGATTTAGCCCGTGGCATAGCCTGGCACGACCCATATATATATTTTATATATTTATATAATATTATATAAATTATAATTATATAATAATATATAATTTATAATATATTAATAAAATAAATAAATTTTTTAATTTTATTATACTAATTTATTTAATTATTATATATAAGTAATTGTATACACAAAATTCATATAAAATTAAAATTTTTAAGTTTTTTGTCATTTTTTTTTAAATAAATAACTTTGGCCTGATGCACGGCCCAACCAGGCCCAAGACTCGATTCACGGGCCAGCCTGACTCGCGGCACAACACGGCACGAGCCTGCATGGGCCTGGGCCATGAGCCGTGCCGGGCTGACACCCAAAATTTTCACCGGAAAAGGCGGCACAACCCATAACGGCCCGCACTTTACACGAACCATCCACGGGCCGTACCATGCCAACCCGGCACGGCCCACTTTACTCCTCTAACGTGGTCCGAGAATATATTTATATATAAACTCTACGCTGATACGACATGCTAGTGATCTAATACACAGAAAAGCAATTAGATTGTAGACCTTTCACCATTAAATAAATCAAAATGGATTATTTTTCAAAGAATGTCATTTTTTGTTTTTTTTTTTAATCACTAAAGAAATGGTTCAATCTTATAATTAATTGATTTATTCAATTGGGTTATTTTGGGTGGAGAATGTATAATGAAGAGATAACGAATTGAGCATTACAGATCAATAAATAAAAATTAAAGGATATATAGATGAAGTGGGAAGCTCCCACTTCGGTTCGGATTCGGAATGAGACTTGATGAAAGAAKATTTGGCCCGACCTTGCAAATTACGCCACGTGGCAGAAAACAAGTAGCTTGGCACTTAAAACAGCGTACCGAGGGTACAAACACCAAAGGGAAGAGACCAGCGGTCCAAACT